CCGCCCCGCAGGAATCCCAGGCAACCAAGCCAGCCTGGGGTGGAGGAATCGACCACTTCACCTCCGAAGCCGTTTAGACCGGCCTTCATCCAGGAAAGATCAACTAGGTCTGCTATTGCCTTGTGTGGTCAGCAGGAATTGTTCATGGTTCGGCCCACTGGTGTGCTGCAGCGGTGAATACAGAAGTTGCTATAACTGCTATTTACTGGTAACCCCTAAACTTCCTGTGGCAAACCCGCCTTTAAAGACAGCTGTGTTTTAAACAAGTTCCCCTATAAAAACTTCAACCTCACACAGCGCTTCCCAATGTAAAGATTACTGGTTGGAGGGGTGTCCATATTTAAAGTTCTTAGGAAAAAGGGACAGGAAGCAAAATGTCAGACAATCTGTCTACATAAATAAAAGATGACTGAAATTTGTTGGATTTTTCATCCATAGTTTCAAAGGCCCAATTACTACCATCCTGATATTTCAGTTGCATACATGTCACTGGCCTTGAAGCCTTCCTGGAACAAGGCAGAATATGAATATTTAAAATAAAATATAAACGTATTAAACCAGAAAAGCTATTGACTTCCTCCACTCTGAAATGTCTCGCTGAAAAATATGGTAATGTGTTTTATTTAATTTCTGTTGAAATGAAATGCATGAGAAGTTACCAGTCTTGCAACAACAGATGAAAAAGCCAGACAGCAAGCAACCTTATTGATAAAAGAATGACACAAACAAAAGAAAAAAGCTCCACTGTAGTCTAACTAATCCTAAAAATTAAGATATAAGGAAACAGCCCTAAGGAAATAGACTGGTAATCATTCCCTGCTTCAGACTTCTTCATAATAGGTGGAATGTATAATGGATGCCATTTATAATTTGTATCACGTTCTTCTACTGGCTCTTCTAAGCTATGTTCCCAAATTTTTTATGAAATTGCTCAGTTAAATTGGGCTTTGAAGACAATGAAATTAGGTTTTTTCCCTCTACCCTCAATGTTCCCAAAGTAGTAAGTAGAAACTCACATAAAATAAATACCACGTTAATTACCAGCATCTTTAAATTCTTTTTAGTTGTGGAATTTTTGTCTTTATAGTTTCAAAAGTCACAGTCATTAAAGGAGTAACTTCATCACTGCCTAGTTAGGGGTGTTTAACATTCTAAACAGGCATATAGCTAGCAATCTGAAATTTGTACACAGAAAGGCCCTGTCTCCCTTTCTTCCTGTAGTATTTATATAATCCAAACTACATATGTTGTTATGCACAATCTGATCTCCAGCTTTAAGCAGCTAACATTACATACGGTACGTTATGCGAAGAATATCAAAGATTTTTTTCTTAAGCTGTGGGTGAAAATGGTACATTTTTAAAAAGACAAGGCCAAAAAAACTGTAGTAGAATTCATATGTGAGAAAAGAAATGGTTCCATTATAATCAATTCTGTAAGGAAAAAAAATTGAACGTTTTCTAAGCATCTTAATATGTGAAATGTTAGCTGAGCAAAGGTTCAAAAATGAATTTTAATGCTTTCTTCAAAATCTGCTTTTCCTTCACAAAATAAACGATGTTTTACTTGGTTGTTAGGTGATTGTATTTTTAGGGGGAGGGGAGGGCAAGAATCATCTCTTGCGTTTGCTGGGGTATCTCTGCTCATCCCGTTCTGCTTAAACTTCTCACTCATTGTACAGTAAAACCTGGGAAAGCCAGAACCTGTGTAAGGTCGAAACCAATCAGAGAAGAAAAACTCAAATACATTCCACTAAAACAAGGAATAGAAAAGTGGTTAGACTGCACTCTGTCAAAAGCGGAAAACTTGTGAGACCCAGAAAATCAAGGTAGTCCCGTCAAGTTCCGGCTCTCACAGATTTCGCTGTATTTGTGTTGATGCCAGCTAAAAAACAAAAGGGTTGGAAATAATATATCACATAAATATTATATGTTGAGCACATTTCCCAACCATATATACAATATACTAGATTACATTCTTAAATTTTCTTTCAGTTTGCCAACTGTGTAGCTTTTCTCAGCAGAGTGAAAGAAAACAGCAAATAATAAACTGGTTATTTTTCCATATAATTTATTGCCCAGAGCAATAGGCAAAGGAAGGTGTGAGAAAAGAATGTGCCTGTGAGTGTTAGTATGCTTTCCTCCCTGGCTCAGATTCATAAATACTTCTATTTTAAATCAACCCTAAGTTAGGATCATGGCCAGTGTTTATTATGGTATGTGTAGTATAGAATACATAGTGAGAAGTGAAATGTTTAGAACAGTGTAGTAATTAAGTATGAAGACTGAGACAGGACAAAAAAAAAAAGACAACTTAAACAAGTTAGGAAATCCAGACTCAAAATACTTTTCAAAGTACTTTTCTTGTTGAAGCATAATATTTGCAGAATTCATTCTCCTTCGGTCCCTTCGTTTTTCCTCTCCCTCTTAACATGTTAGGGAGTAAAAGAATTTTTTTTTTTTTTTTTTTTTTT